GAGGAGTTCATCTCTGCTGTGGCGGCGGCTCGCTTCTTTTCCCGCCTAATTGAGGGGTGTGCGCTGATGTCATTATGCACGTGCATTGCACGAAGGGAGGAAAATGGGTTAGGACCTGTCCGTGGGCCACTATTTCCTTTTTTTATTAAGGTCGATTTGGATATCATGGCGTCCTACTTGTTTTTCATGTTATTTTTTCAAAAATAAAATATTATGTATTTAAAAATCATGGTATTTTTAAGCTAAATTATTAGTAAACTAAAAACACAGCACTTATTTTAAAACACCTTTTAGGTATTTTAAGTTTGATGTTTTGATTTTGAGTTTAATGAGGTGTTAATATAATATCTAACATAATTTATTAAATGTAATCAAAATATAGTTATTATCAACATGCTTATTATATTATATTACATTATACTATATTATATTATAGTTAATCTAATATATTAAAAATATTTTTTAAATTATATAAAAACATAATAATAATAAAATATCTTATATGATAATATAATAACATATTAAATACTAGTATTTAATATGTTGATAATGTTATTATATAATAACAATAAATAATAAAATACAAAGAAAATAATATAAATAAATAAAAAGATTAGTGATAATAATAATAATATAATAATGATATAATAAAATATAATACAATATTATAATCACTATAATATTATTAACTTTTAATAAATAAACTATAATAAATTAATAATTATAAAATATTATATAATAGTAACATATTTAAAAATATTATAATAATATATTGTATAGTTAATGTAATATAATAAATAAAATATTAATATATTATAGAATAAATAATATAATATATTACAAAGTAAAATAAGTTTTAATACTAAAATAATTTATTGCTAAGAAATGTTAATATAAAAATAAAATATTCATAATATAATAATGTTTATTATATAATAAATTATTGATATATTATTAAAGTATTAATAATAAACTCTAATAAAATATTATAATATATTATGCAATATGATATTGTATTATATTTAATATTATAATACTATAATAATGTAAACTAAATATTATAATATTTTATTTATAATATATATTATTATAATTAATATATGATATATTAATACTATGTTTAATACTTATATTGTTACGTGTCAAACTATAGTTGACCAAAAACACTTAACATGACGTTTTGAGAACACTTTAAAGAAAAAACACAACATCATGGTTTTTTTTTTTTTTACAAAAACACAACAAGAAAAATACCATGATATCCAAACGAAGCCTAAGTTAACAAGTCATTCACCCCCAAAATCAAATTTGTTAAAAACGAGTAAAATCTAATGGAATACCATATCCTTTTGGTTGAATGCGCACCTATTCTTTGAAACTTGCATCAAGCGATAATAAGAGGAAGAGTTTGGACAAATCATATAGCTTAAGATGATTTCAAATATAGTATCAGTTGACATACCTGACCATTTTCTCAGAACAAAAATTTCATGAAGACAACAAATGTAAAGTCACAAAGTTTTTTCACTCTACATGTTTTTTAGTCAAAAAGATAGAGGGATTTCAAATGAATACTCAAACATATATTTTTAAGGATTTTTATGTTCTTATTTTTACTAGTCACTAAATGGATGTTTTTAATCCTTGACAAAATGGTTAATGGAAGTTTTCATTGAGTAATTAAGTGCTCCATTTTACACATCCATGGATAAATTGTTTATGGGAAAATGTGTCCAGGCCCCAAAAGTGGAAACTTCATGTGATGAGGCCCATTGTATTCTGCCCCATGTGGATAAGCCCCAAAAAATGACGTTTAATGTAGCAAGGTCCCTCCACGTTAGCATTATACTAAAAACAGATTATATTTTTAAAAAAAACCTGGAATTGCCCTTCCCATTCTTCCCCAGACGACCACTCGACGGCAACAACTACATTATTCACATCTCATTAATGCGATATGATGGAAGAAATGGAGGGAAAGTTTCCCCTTTTTTTACTTTATCATGAGCAATAACTATTTAGTTCTCCATTACTCCTCCTCAGACGAAAATTCTCTCCATTACTCTCTCTATTACTTCGCTTTATCCTAAAATTCGATCCATTACTCTTACCTTCCTTTCATAATGGCTGAGAAGGACATCATCTGCATTGTCTCTTCAGGGGATAAAGCAATATTCATGAAGATTAACTCTTCGACCACCATTCTGGACCTCAAATTAATTTGATGTGTCAGAGAGGTTAGATATTCCATATGATTCATTAAGTTTGTCATACAAAGATAAAAAAAATGGAAACTTCAAATTTCCTATTGAGAATGAGGGCATCTGTCGTCTATGGTGGAGTATTGCCATAATCTTGGACTGAAAGAGGTTCACATGCAAGCTTTTAAAGAAGCAGATGATTCTTCAAATATCCAAAAAAAAATGAGCAAGTTCGACAAGACACGTAGGTTATTGGATTTTTTGATGCTAAGATCAATATTTATTATGTTAAGTGTAAAATCAGTTAATGCTAGTTATAATTGTCGTCTTGTTAGTTCTATGTTAGCTTTAATTGGATTTTAGTTCTAATTTGAGCGTATGTTAGTTCTACACGATTTGTTGTTAACCGGTTCTTTGTTAGGTCAAATATATTAGATCTAATGGTTTTCTTGTCAGTTCTAATCGATTTTTTGTTATTTCTAGCGCCAGTTCCATGTGAGGTCAAATGTGTTAGTTCTAATCGATGTCTTGTTAGTTCTAATGATTTTTTTTGTTAGTTCTAATCGATATTTTGTTAGTTTTATTCAATTTATTGCTAGTTCTAGCTTCAGTTCCATGTGAAGTCAAATATGTTAGTTCTAATCGATTTCTTGTTGGTCCTAATGGTTTTATTATTAGTTCTAATTGCTATCTTATTAGTTCTATTCGATTTATTGTTAGTTTTAGCTTCAGTTCCATGTGTGTTCAAATATCTTAGTTCTAATTGATGTCTTGTTAGTTCTAATGGTTTTCTTGTTATTTCCAATGAATTTCATGCTAGTTCTAACTGCAAACAGTTGTTGTTTTTACTTTTTTCTGATTGGTATTATTTGTTGATGTTACTACTATTTGTGTAGTTTATGATTATTTGTTTATGTTCTTAATATTTGCAGCGCTTCCAGTAGTTTGAACTCAAAAAGTATAGACTATGGCCTACCGTTGTCGACGTCCACATGTGTTTCAGATAGGATTCCCAATGATAATCCTTACAGAGATAATATTTTGATGTTTGATGACATGATTAACATATTTGAGAGGATTCTTGCTTGGTGACACACTGCTTTAACAGGTGAGGGACAACGATTTGAAAGTGCGAAGGAATTAAGATTGACCTTGCTATACTACTCTATGGCAAAAAAAATTCGAGTACGAGTTTGGAAAGAATGAACTGAAGCGTATTCGAGTCTTTTGTCGGTTTAAGGAAGCCAAAAGTTGCTCGTGAATGTTATTTGCCTCTCCAACTAAAAATGAAAATAGACTTGAAATCAAAGGGTTCGTGGACAATCATACTTGTAGGCAGCATGGCAATAATGCAGGTCAATCTAGGGCCTCTCAACAATTCATTACGACCCAATTACAACCCATGTTAAAGGTCCAACCGGATATACCACCTGTTGATGTACAAAAGGAGGTTTTAAGTTCGTATGGGCTTAGGGTCGATTATTGTTTTCATCAAAAATTGTCGTTTCCATTGCTTTGGAACCTGTTACACCATTTATCGATTACAAGTTCAAACTGAAAGAAAAGTCGATCTTTTTATAAGATCTTCTTACAATAAAAAAGTAAAAATTACAACTTTATCCAACAAAACACAGCAGTAGTTTATCTCCTGTTCCTTTGCGTGGGATCTTTGCCTGTACCGGGGACGCGTTAGTCCGTAGACCATCGCGGATCAGATCCGATTGACAAGTGTAATTATGTTGTTGCTTCATGAAGGAAACAATCACAGCAGCGACAATCACGACCAAGCGAGATTGTGGCTCTTCTCGAGATCAAAACCAGGTTTGATCCGGAGGAAAGAGGGGGAGAGAATCTCAAATCTTTCGAAGGCTTTTTCTTTATGAAAAAGTTCACCAAGATCTGCTAATTCTCCTCTGAAATTCGTGGTCTACTGTTTAATTAGACAGCACCTCGCCCTCAGATTTTAGATTTTTTCAACTGAAGACCCTGGGCTTCTATTTATAAGCTTTTGTCACCGCATTTTCTGATAAGATCAAGTGTTTTGACGTTATCTGCAGTTGATAACCGCCCAGGCGCACTTAAGGATAGCTTCAGAATAGTTGGGGAGGTCCTGGGACAAAAGAATTCTAATAAAACATGGAAATCCGCGTTTTGGGAGTTTGGGAGGCCCAAATAGTCGTGGTGGCTCGGAGCTGTGCGAGCCATCGTTTGGTGACTCGCATGGGTGCGGTCACCATTTGGTGACTTGCATGTGTGCGAGCCTCTTGGCCTGTTCTTGTGTCTTTTTGACCCTTTTTGCTATTTGTATCTCCTTCGGTTTGCTTGTTTTAACCTTTTACGGGTGTTTCGTCACTTTGTTGACTTATGCGCTTTACCGGTTCGCTTCATGCGTTTTATCGACGTCAGATAATCTTCTTTGACTTAGGTGATGACGTTCATCATGTTCTTTTTGTCTTGAGCTGCGTGTGGGAACCTGATAATCATATTTTATTACAATTTTATACACTCATTATCTATTTTAATGAATAAATATATCACTAATAATTATTTTTATCTTTAATTGCAGGTAATGAAGAATAAATCTCAAAACTCTTATCTCTCAACAAAAGCCCCTTGAATAAATGAAGAAAAGCTCAAATGGAAATCAAAAAGCCCAATGGGAATTCAAGAAGCCAAAGTGAACAACCAAATCAAAAAGTCCAAGCCCAAAGAAAGAGCTATCTTCGGACAACAACCAGAAGAAGCTTCGCCTCGATGCCAGCATCGATGGGGACATCGATGTC